CCTGCACGGGCTACTCTAGTCCTTTCTCCCTCACCTTTCCCTGACCCTCTCTGGAGAGTTTCTAGCAGTTTGTATTGCATTGTTGAACTCCTACTCTTCTGGAACCATCTATAGAGATTTTTATAGCCTCAATTCCTACAGACTAGAGATATAACTATGGATGATTTTTATGTTTATTTATGCTGCTTTCCAGTCAATATTTCAACAGGCACTTCTTGATCCTCCATTATTTTGAATACATAGAGGACTTGGTGAAGCAATTCACAATTTCTATAAGCTTGACTGTCTGCATCTGACTCCTGATTCCCAGGAGAAGGAAGGTGCTCCTTAGTCCATGCTGGCTCTCCCAGCCCACATTAGCTCCTCCAGCAACTACCATCATCTCGAGGAACAGAGAGCAACACTATCCTTCAAGATGAGACTCAAGCCAAACTCAGACTTTTTCTTGTCTATTCCTTCACTGTACATCCCCTGGATCAATTGCTGTAGAGTCTGGTAGAATTTCCATCAGTTGACATCTGGACTACTCCAATGGTGTCCCAACTGGTTGCTTACCTTTGCATCTTACACCTTTTTTTTTTTTTTTTTGACAGAGTCTGTGTGTCCCACGTCTCAAATCACTATGTAGCCAAGGATGACCCTGAACTTCTGATCCTTCTGCATCCATCACCTGATTGGTGGAATTACAGACATGTGCCACCATGCCAAGTTTATCAAACACAGGGCTTCCTGCATGCTAAGAAAAAGCTCTACCACTTGAGCTACATGCTGAGTTCCTCCTCCTTACTGTCAAAGGAACAGTCAGAATGTGCCTTCCAGGAGGTAAATCAGATCACACCATGCAGCTGATCATGGGTCAGTGGTACCCATCTTATGCAAAGTAAACACTCGAGTCTTCACAGCATCCTACAGGGCTCTGCAAGTGGTGGAGTTCCCCAAGCCCCAAGTTCTTGGATCTCATCTGCCCCTCTCTGCCTTGTTCCCACTGTGCTGCAGACACAATGGTCTCTTTGCTATTCCTGGAACATTCTTCATTTTAGACATCCACAGGGCCAGACTTTGACTTTCTTCAGGCCTCTGGCACTTGTCAGCAAATCCCTCCTGGGCCACCATGCTTGAGCCTTCCTGCCCTGCACCTCATTTGTCAACAACACTTCTCTTCCCCCCCACACAGGGCACTTCTGCATCTTTTCCTGTCTGTGTCCCTCCTCTATAACACTGTGTGACTTCACCAGGCCTGGGACCTTATTATAGTCACTGCTGTATTTCAGGAGCCAGAATAGAACCGAGCCCAGCACATGGCAGACTTCCAATAGACAGTCTTTTAATGGTGAAAAAAGATGTTATGTCCTGAAGTTTATAAGTTCTTCAGGAGAGCACAGCTGCCAAGGGTGTCCTTCCTCTCAGGAACCTCACTGAGGGCTAATCACAAAACGTTTATGCAGAGTTCCTAAGAACCATTCCCAATTAGGCAGAAATTCATAGAAAGAATCCCATTATCTAAAGCCTGCACATGCTGCTTGGGTAATAGTCCTGGCAAGAGCAAAGTTGTTCTAAAGAGACACCCTTGTGTCCCTCCCTTCGGCCACTGGGCTGTTGAACAGATGGATCCCAGGAATCCCATGCTGGGGGAAAGGAAAGGCTGAAAGTTTGATGTCAGCTACAGGAGAAACTCTTCTCCCAGGAAAGGAGTCTACACAGTTCTATCAACTTACTAAACTTGCAAAACAGACAGGATTTGAGACAAGATAGGTTAGTGATGGGAAAGACCATATCTTGACCAGGACTGCTAAATAGCACATATGTCTTACCTTCTATTTAACCCCAAACTTCATGCCTGTGCCCCTGAAGACGGACTTGAGGGTCGCTCCACCTCTTTGCTTCTCCTCCCAATGTGGCTACGTCGAATAAATATCCTTTTGCTGATCTTTGCCCTTACTTGTCTCTATAATTAGTATATCAGGGACAAGAGGCCAAGACTTGTTTGGTGGGGCTACCAAACACAAGATTTTGACCCTAAACACTCTAGTATCACTAGGAAGAGCCCGGTCGTTCTAAAATGGTGTTGGGTAGAGTTTACTTTGATCGGTGCCAGCTCCCTAAAATCAAGTGTCTTTTCTGGAAATTTGGTTCTCTTATGTTAGAGTTATGGGGTTCAAGAGAAAAGCAGAAGAGACTTCCAGGAATCTGTTATTTGATGGTGGATGCATTTAGATCTAATTTTTTTTAAAATATTGATATGTATAAACACATATGTCTATATATGCGTATCTAAGTAATTGTGTTGAATAACGTAACATTAGCATCTCAGCTCAGCAGTGGAGAACACTTGCTGTTCTCTTAGAAGACTACAGTTGGGGTACCAAAGGACTTGCTGGGGAGCTTACAACTCCCTGCAACTCCAACTCCAGGGGAACCGACACCTTTGCTAGCCTCCTCCGACACATGCCCTCAGGTACACATATCCATACATATAATTTAAATTTAAAAATTAACAATTTCAATGCATAGCTCAGTATGCTTGTTTTCAATGCCCTGCAACCAATCTCCAGAGCTCTTGTGCTTCGCAAAACCAAAGCTGCATGACCTTTAAAAATAATTCGCATTTTATCTCCTCCGCCAGGCCTGTGAACTATTGGCTTATTGTTTCATTAGATTTGATGACTGTAAATTTATCATATAAGTGGAATCATACAGTGTTTACCTTTGTAGAGATTGACTTACTCTAAATAATATGATGTTTGTAAGATTTATGTGCTTTGGGACCTGTATCCGGGCTTCATTCCTTTTGAAGAGAGGCTAATTCCAATGTCTGCACACACTATACCTTGTATCTTTGTTCTCTCTCAATGAATTCTTGAGCTGCTTGCTCCTTTGGGGCATTGTGAATAACACTGTTATGAGTGCAAACGCACAAACATCTTAAGACCTTGCCTTCAATGCTTCTGGCTGTGTATCCAGAAGCCGGGTAGCTAGATCATATGGCAACTCTGTTTCTAAGGCTTTCAAGAGCTGTTATTCTGCCCTTTACAGCTGGGGTGCCACTTTACACTCCTGTTGATTTGGATTCTCACCAACAGAGCACAAGAGAGAGTTTCCTGTCTTTTTAGTAGAGAGGTTTTCTTCCCCTGTAGCCTATGAGAACTGTCCAAAGATGTTTAATAGAACCAGACATTCCTGCTTCTTCCAGTGCTTAGCAACAGGAAGCCCGTAGCTTCTACTGTATGTGTGTGCATGTGTGTGTGTGTGAGTGCTTTCAGCTTTCTCTTTCCATGTCTATTTTGCAAAGGCTTCCTCGTTCTCAAATTAACATGCATGTGAGCAAACAGACACGCATCTGCCTCCCAGACAGGAGGGCTGTGGGGGGGAACCAGCACTGGGTGAGGAGAAAGACAGGGCAAACTCGTGTAATCCTCTCACAGAAAGATGCTGTGGCTTCAGTCTAGTCTGTTGGGAAGATATTGCTTAAGATCCAGCACCACTGCTCCTTGGCAAACTGGGGCATCTCAGTGTGGGAAAGTGTAGAAGAAGACAGCTTGGAACTGTGCCTGCATGCAGCCATTCATTACAAGTAGGTCCCAGGGACCTGCGAGACCAGGGCCAAGGGAAGAGAGAATTCTCTGCCGAGGAATAACCAGTAAAAGCTCAGAACCCTTCATTTGTGCTATCTTCTTACAACGACTTTATTGCTGGGAAAACAGAGCACTGCTCCTCCTGGGTTCCTTCTCTTTCATGATATTGGCTGCTCTCCCCTCCCTGACCCGGGACAGTCTTACTGAAGCACTTTTTTTTTTTAAAAAAGCATCTTTTCAAGTAGTATTAAAAAGCAACACAGTGTGATTGCACACATTCCCTCTAAAAGAATATCTAATTAATCCCATGGGATAAATCCCACTCACAAGGGAATTTCATAGAGAGAAGACACAGATGTGAAACTGGAGCTACAGAAAGAGGTGCTTAAAAAACTCTCAGTGACCAAAAGAGGCAAATGACTTGGAACGGGTTGGAGGGACCCCCTCAACAGTTAAGAGGGTTTGCTGCCCTTGCAGAGGACCTGGGTTCGGCTCTCAGAACCCATTTTGGGTAGCTTACAACCATCTGTAATTCCAGTTCCCGAAAATCCAGCACCTTCTAACCTCCGAGGTCACCTGCACACACAGTGCACATATAGTCATCCAAGCACACACACATAAATAAAAGTAAGTATAAAAAGTGATTTGAAAGTTGATGATCTACACAGATCAGGGACCAGCAGGCTTTTTCTCTATAGAGGAAGTTAGTAAATATTTTAGGCTTTGTGGGTGGAGAGGTTAAAAGTGAGAAAATACAGAAGACACAGGATAAAAAATAGCAATTCATGTTAGTTATTACTGACAAATTCAAAATGCAATAGTAATTGAGAATTTCTTTTTTCTAGTCACGACGTTCTCCTAAGACAAGGGTAGAATTCTTTGGGATAGCATTTTGCTAGCTTGGGCTTGAGGTGGGTGACTTTGATCATCACATCAGCCTCAGATGCTAACCTGTGAAAGCCATTCCCTTCTAGCAGGCTGTGCAGAAGCAGGCAGTAGGCTGCCTTTGGCCTGAAAGAAAGGACCTGTCAACCCCTGCCCAGACCATGAGCACTGCAGAAAGCCACCGATTTATTGTGGGTAGCTCTGAAACTCCCAAGGAGTCTGAAGCAGATAGTCCTGTCTTCCCGTGCACATCAGCAATGTTAGGAAGACTCACAGGTTTTCTTTCTGCGTGTGTGCAAGCATGTACAAGTACTTGCGTGGGTGTGAAGATATACAGAGACCAGAGGTCAGTGCGTGTCTTCCTGCAGCTTATTTTTTTTTCTTTTGATAGAGTCTCTCACTCAACCCAGAATTTACCAATTTGTCAATGTTGGCTGACCAGTGAGTCTTAAGGACTCCTGCCCTCCCCCACCTTGCCTCTGCCTCCCCAGTGCTGGGATTCTAAGCACGCATCACTGCACCTGGGTATTTTGCATGGGTTCTGGGGATCAGCCCTCAGGCTGTGGTGCTAGCATGGTGAGCACTAGAGCCGCCCCCCACCTCTGTCTGCTACACCGCAATTCACACGGCCTTTTCACCCAAAGATGATGAAGCTCACAGTCCGCCAATAGCTGGCTCTGCAGTAGACGGGAGAACTGCATTGATCTGATTTGGGTCTATCTTGCTGCAACGGGTGCCATTTCCAATGCTGCTGACCAGGTATGTGTCCTGATCAGAAATTGTGGGTGATGCTTTAAAAAGTCTTTGTCAGTTAGTTGTCATCTAGAGGGTGGGTACTCGCTTCGATCCACCTGCTCTATTGCCTCTTGTAGCAGTATCACTTAACAAGCCAATGTTTGTCATCCTGAACATATTTATACATAAGTACATGAACACAGATTGTCAAGGTTTCCTCTGGGGGCTCTCCTAATATTGAAAACTTTTGGAAGTTACTGGAAGTAAAAACAAAACTGAGCGGGAACACTGTAGAGCAGTGGTTCTCAATCCGTGGGTCGAATAACCTTTTACAGGGGTCACCTAGGATCATTGGAAAACACAGGTATTTGCATTACTATTCGTAGCAGTAACAAAATTATAAGTATGAGGTAGCAATGAAAATAATTTTCTGGTTGGGCTCACCACAACATGAAGAACTGTATTAAAGAGTCACATCATTAGGAAGGTTGAGAACCACTGCTCTAGTGGCTTCGTTGACAATCTTAGTGGCTGTTCTAAAAGTCTACAACATTTATATAGACATGTGTATATACATATATGTTACCCATGTGCATTAACTTTATATCAGAGATGTTTTAACCAACACAGAAAGCTTAGCCTTTCTCAAATTACTTTTGAAAAAGCACTGTGTTGAATGGTGATGGGAGAGGCAGTCACTGTGATGTTTATCTGTTTACCCCAAGTAAATATTTAGCAGGGAGATAGGTGGGAATACTGTTTAAAACACTGTTAAAGATGGAATTCCTCAATGTTGGCATTTCTGAAGGAAGTAAGGGCCTCTCCACAGTAGTGCTGTCATGGTGTGCATGGCTTTTTGATAATAAAAGCATTTTCAAAGGGAGACCAGATCAGTGAATGCAATAGAAAATAGAGAGGAAGTCACAGAAACTTAGTCTGTGCAGAGCACTGGGTTATTCCCACCCCTTCCTTAACCAGGAGGTGGAGACCGGAGAGCAGCAGGGCTTGCAGCTTTGAGACAGAGGGCGCTGTATATTCCCAGGAAACTTCTGAAGGGAGCAGTCCCAACAGTTCTGCTCAAACCAGCCCTCGTCCTTCATTAAGGCAGCTCTTGCTGGTGTGTGTTAAAGGCCAGCAGTGGAAGAGGGGAATTGAACAGACCTGGTAGGCTGGGAGAGCTGAGACTGTCAGAGATAATGAGCAACTTCCAGGTAGGAAGCCTTTAATGGTTTGTAGTTATCTCATACATCCTTTCCTTTAACCTTGGCAGTTTCTTTGGATAGAAAATCATCATCACAACCATGACCATCACCATCATTAATACCACTACCACCATAATCATTACCACCACCACCACCACCACAACCACCACTGGCATCAACACCTCCACCACCAATACTGCCATCATCATGGTTACTGATATCATCACCATGAATACCACTCCCATGAGTACCACCACCATCATTCTCACCATCACCACTATCACCATTACCATGACCACCATGGTCATTACCGCTACCACACCATCACCATTACTACCATGACTACCACGACCACCATTAATTACTATCCCCACGATTGCCACTAAAACCACCATTACGGCTTTCAACTTGCCTAGAACTGTAACCACCACCGACATCATTACCACCCCCTTCACCAGCATCAATGTCATGACTTCAGAACCATCACAACATCACGATCACAACAGCCCCCATCACCATCACTACCATCAAGATCACAAAAGCCACCTTCACCATAGCCACCGCTCTTCCACCAGTGATACCATTTGTCATTCTCATCACATCACATCACCACCACAGTTATCAAAACATTGTCATTACCACTGGCATCAGTATCCTCATCATCCGTACACGGAGCAGCTTACTGCTGTCTTACCTGAGTCGTAAGCCTGAGTGCTAAACAGTCCACAATCTAAGAGCAGCAGAGGCATTGCCTTTGCATGAGCAGCAGTGGCATTAGACTCTCTGCACGCAAGGTACTTTCTGCAGCTCTGGGTCTGCAAAAGGTGCTTCTTCTGGAAGCCATTTACTGAGGAGCGCATGAAGTCAGACACTCAGAATAGCAATGTTTTCTTAAAAGGCAGCTTTGTGCTTTATGCTTTTAAACATACTAGGCATAGTTAACTCAAGAAATCATACTATTTAATAAATATGTGGACTTAAGTAAGTGGTTTTTTTTCAAAGAGGAGGGAGGGCTAGGCTCACATATTTCAACATTTTGGTCATAATAGCTACATATTTCTCCCTTTTCCTTCCTTCCTTCCTTCCTTCCTTCCTTCCTCCCTCCCTCCCTCCCTCCCTCCCTCCCTCCCTCCCTCCTTCCTTCCTTCCTTCCTTCCTTCCTTCCTTCCTCCTTCCCTCCCTCCCTTCCTCCCTTTCTTCCTTTCTTCTCCCTCCTTTGTTATCTTTGTCTGGGTATGCACAGGGGTTTAGTTTTCAAGACAAGCTCGGCCCAATTATATATTCCTGATTTCCTAAAATGTCCAACTTTCCTGGCTGCCACAAAATATTAAAATAAACCATTTGGCATGCCCGACCGGTACTATGAAGCCCCCTTTTAGCTGAGGCGGATCTAAATAGGTTAGTGTGAGGTCACTGGAGGCCATAAATCAGAGGGGTGGACCGGTGGCTGAGCCTGCCTGCATAGCTTTAGTTCAATGTGCTATTTTGGTTTGTGCCCCCAAAATGACACCATCTTGTTGGCACCAGCCGAAGAAAGCTTCCTAGACATCTGTGGGAAGAGAATGTACAGTAATCCAAGGCCGAGGTCGCACGGGCATGAATCACTGTGGGGAGGTCTGTGTCTGCTCCCGGCCCTGAGAGAGACCAAGGCAAATGATTTCCATCCAAACTGTTTATCCAGGAATCCAGGCTGGAAACGGATCCAAACAGTCTTGGCAAATGGTAAAAGCAGAGAGTAACCAATTCTTCTCACTCTGTCAAACCAGGACAGCCTCTTCCTGCTGGCTTTCCAATTACGTGGGGGTCCACTTGAGAGCCCCAGATATTTTTGAGAAAGATTAAATACAGTTAAATAACAGTTGTTGTATATTTTATACGATCTGAAATATAGAATAATCATAGAACACCCCAACACTTTCTTATGTTTATGATCTACTTCCTTTGCTTTTATCTGTGAGTTTCTAACCCAACCAGTCTGAGCTTCCTGCATTTATTGCTTTTATATATAATCTTAGTTTAAACTCTTCCCCCTTCTTCCTTCCTCCCATCCATCCTTCCTCCCTCCCTTCCTCCCTCCCTTTTTCCCTTTCATCCTTCTTTCCTTCTTTCCTTCCTTCCTTCCTTCCTTCCTTCCTTCCTTCCTTCCTTCCTTCTTTCCTTTCTTCCTTCCTTCTTTTCTTCTCCCTCCTGTCATGTTTTAATTTTAGAAGGGGAAAATGCATTTCACAACATAATCTCAAAATATACTAGATTACAACACACCATGTAGTTTTTACCCGTTCATCTTAGTTTTAAAACTAGTCTACATAATGAGGCCAGACTCAGGCCAGCATCCTAACTGTAATTCTTTTGTTGATACGTTTGGAGATGCCCTTGCTCTGAGGGGATGTTCCTGTTGGAAGGGAAAACATCCAGACTGACTTTCGTGGGGTAAGGTGAGACTTTTGTTCAAAAGTGAGTGTATTTGTTGCAGTCATCTGCTGACCCTTTAAGTGCTATAGCAGCCAGTGCATCTCCACCTAGAGGCCTTCTTTGAGGAGACTGAAGCAAGTTCCTCCGGGACAGAAGAGGTGCAGCCAGCTGCCATGTACTCTACCAGCTCCGGGAACAGAAGGGACTGCTGAAGCTTCTGCAGCTGGGTGTGGCCTTAAAGTGGGTTCTTAGGAGCTGTGTGAACAGGAGAGCTCGCGCAACGCTTTGCACGCACACTGTGAACTCGTGGCATTTTACTGTTCTAATAAGCGCACTGGCTTGCAGCCACCGAGCAGTTCTGAAAACGGAAGCAGCCAAGGCTGGAGCTTCTAAAAAAGGAGGCGGCGGCTGCTAAGGTGTAATTTTCAGTCTAACAGGCTGGCTGACCACCACCTGAGAACTGATTCTTCCCACACATAATTGATTGCGGTTCTCTTCGCCCCAGCTGAGCAGGGCCTTCTTCAGCAATAGTTGCCAACGCCATAGTTATTACAGTTATCATTACCAAGACAATCCATACAGGGGTGTCCACCAAGGTTCGCCAGCCGGCTGTCAAGACCGCCTGGCAATAACATGAATAGGTGCCCTTTAATTTGATAAGCAGGAAACAATAGAAAGAAAACGGCCGCTGGTGCCAACTACTGGCTTTTCAATACCTTAGTAATCAAATACCCACTTTCCCAAGAAAGATCACATCTGTAGTTACTACCTTCTAATGACACAATATTGCTGTGGTTGTCTAGAAAGCAACTTAAGATTGTGGGGGGGGGGGGTGAGGAGGGAGGGAGAGAGGGAGGGGTGAGGAGGGAGGGAGAGAGGGGGAAGATAGAGACAGAGAGAAATAGAGTTGTGGAAAAATGTTGGGTGTTATGTGTGGGTGAATAGTCTTTCTCTCTCGTCTGCTTCTTGTAGAAAAACAACAGGGTGGCACACACTGCTTCTTAGTTCTGTGAACCTTAACATTTTCTCTAACCACAGAGAACAAACAGGGTCTCAGAGAATCGGTGAACAAACACCTTGTAAAAAAAAAAAACCTACTTGCTTTTTTTCCTTTCCAGATCTTTCTGCATCTGCACAAAACCTGTAGACCTGTATTTCTCTAGGGGACAATGTTTCCTTTAAAAAAGAAAAGAAAAGAAAAAAACAAACCCAAAACAACAGCAACAACAAAACCTGAGGCAGCTGTTGCCCTGACAACAAGCATCCTGAGTGGTTCCCTTCTGTGTGCTGGACTCACTGTGTGGGGAGTGCTCTTCTTTCTAGGGTAGGTTAGGAAAAACAAAGCCCAGGGAGACCTGGACTGGTCATTCATTTCAGGTGAAAGTGCCAGGACTGAGAGGTTAGGTGGAAATCTGAGGCTTTTCGACATGAGGTCTCAGACAAGACAACCCAAGTAGGGGATGAAGAAGAGAGAAGGGGAAATATGAGCAGAGTAAAATTATACATACATATATGCATGTATACATGTGTAAAATTATATACACACACACACACATGTGTGTGTGAAAATGAAAGCCATTATTTTGAATCTTAGCTAAAATACTTTATTAGCAGAAATAAAACTGAGGTCGCAGAGAATTATAACTTGTGTTTTTGATATAGAGTGAGACTCAAAGAGGATAAATGACCTGCCCATGTTCCCACACTATATATGACAGGGGACAACCAAATCCCCATTCCATCACATGAATGAGTATGTACTTGTAAACACAGTAGCAAGTACATGTTTGCTCACTGAGTACTGGTCTCAGTACTTCTCTGTAATAGGATTTAATCTGCACACAGTTCTAGGAGGTCTGTGCTCAACTTCCCAAGTGAGCAAACTAGAAAACAAAGCGGTTAAACAATCTGTGAGGTTACAAATCAGATGAATGGACAAAACCCAGGCAGTGCCTGCACAGCATTCTCTACAGTGAGACACAACCTGGGCCAGTTTCCGCATGAACTAGCCGTGAGCCATGACTCTAAAAAATCAATGGACACATACTGACTGGTGTTCTCGAAGGGTTTTCTCTAGTCTCTGTGGAGTAAGTTAAACATGACCCACTGAAGAACAAGACAAATAGTTATGACACCAAGAGAAAGCTGATCTGTGTGACCATGTCGATGCTACAGCCTCATGTGGCCGTCGAGGAGACAGAAGTTGCATTGCACAGGTGGTGCAAGGCAGAACGAGAATCAAGTCTACACCTGACATGACACCCAGTCAATGAGGTTAAAATAATGATGTCGAGGGCATCAATGGTTAAGAGCACTGGCTGCTCTTCTAGAAGACTTGGATTTGATTTCCAGTGCCCCATCACATCTTACAACTGTCTGTAACTCCAGTTCCAGGGGACTCCTACCCCTCTTCTGGCTTGCACAGACATCAGACCTGTGGTGTACAGTCACATATGCAGGCAAAAGCCCATCCAGGTAAAACACTAACTGGAACATTTTAAATGACCTCAACAGCCATGAGTGCACGGGACAAAGAGCTGCAGGTTCTTGCAGCTCTGCTCCAGGAAGGTCTTGCTAACCAAACTTCCAGGTCGGGGGCCATGCGTGACGACGTAAGGGCTGTGCACTCGCCTGTAGAGGGTGCTCTTCAGCACCACAGCTGGATACAAAAAGAGAAAAACCCCTCTGGATAGGAAAATGCGAACTGGGCATTTTAGAATGCCATCCCTGGAGGGGGCAGTGGCTGCAAAACTACAGGATTATTATTCCTGGTTGTAACTGTTAACCTGGTGTTTAAGTAGGTAACCACCAAGAAGAGAAGGGAAAGGCGAAGAACAGAGCCCAAGGCCACACTTGTAAGCACCTACAGCTCTCAATGCCTGTCAGTCAAGGGAGGCAGCAGATGGGGACCTTGGTCACCAACAGCAAAGCCCAGCAGGTATCCCTCCCACCAACGGAAGCTGTGATAAAAACCCACACCATGACGTGATTTTATTTTTGTCTCTTTTTTTTTTCTAACAAGGTTGCACTATGTAGCCCATGCTGGACTTGAACATCTCATCCGCCTCATCCTCTCACCTCTGCCTCCCATATGCTGGGATGAGATGTGTGCACCAACATGCCTGGCCCACATTCTTATTATACTATATTGCTTAAATTCTCTTTTGAGACAATGTAGCCCAGGCTGGCCTCAAATGCTCTATGTAGCTGAAGATGCCTTTGACTCCTGATCCTTCTGCCTCTACCTCCCAGTGTTGGGATTACAAGTATGTGTCACCATGCCGGACTCATAAACTCTGAATTTGGATTCTGCGACTAACACAAAATAAGTGTAAATAGCAAGCACACCCCAGACAGCTGGAGCACAGGGCTTCTCCTTACACACACTTTAGTTTTACTTGGATGAACCTGTAATGCTTCACAGGCAGGGTGCACACCCCACTCCTTCTCAAAGGACACTACTTGAGGAATGGTTTTAAAAATTTACAAGATAAGATAGTTTCTGGAAAAGAATCAGATTTCTGAGGTCCTTCCATCCCAATTCCCAGCCATTTAGACAACTCCAAATTCTGGAAAGGTTTTTGCCTGTGGCCCCTCTCATTGGGGCATTAGAACGAGACATCTGCAGGGAACCACCTGCCCATCTAAAACCCCAAGCCTGACTCCACAGGTCATGGCAGAGCTGTGGGGTGAGATAGAAAAGCCAAGCGATGCCAGTGGGGTCAGGAGCTCACAGGATTCAGCAGCCCCCCAAAACGAAAAGAGGAGAGAGAGCTGGGTAACAAATAAGTGCCACAAAAGGAAGAGAGAGAGGGATAACCAAAGAGAAGGAGGGAGAGGGGAGGGGGGGAGGGCAGAAGCCCTCCTGCCCCATTCATTCAGTTCCTATCCCAGCCTGGCATGCACAACACACTATGACCAGCCTCCCTTTGGATGTCACACACGAGAACACAGATGAGGGACAAAGTAAAAACTTTGTTCTATTTTCTGGCCTAAGGCAAATCCTTATTTAGTTGTAATCCTAGGGACTGGAGAGATGACCCAGCAGTTAAGAACACTGGCTGTTCTTCCAGAGGACCTGGGTTCAATCTCCACCACCCATATGGCACCTCACAACTGTCTGTAACTCCAGTTCTAGGGGATCTAACACTCTTCACACAGACATTCTTGCAGGCAAAACACCAATGCAAATAAAATAGATAAATATTTAGTGCAGTCCTTTAAAACTAAAACCTTTGGACAACGCCCCTTCCCTGCCTTGTGCCTGTCATGAGCATGTCACCCAGACTACTTCACCGTCACCATTTCAAAGCACTCCAGAGTTTCCCACACTGTCAAATCAAAGCAGAGCAACCTGGCTCCTGCCGGAGAAATGTTTACCTTCACCAAAAACGTCATCCTCTTCATCCACCAGAAGCTCCTCAGGGTCAAGGAACTGCATTGTGGGAGGACAGGGAGCTAGAGGCACTCAAAACCTTGGACACGCCAGCAGCAGCCACGGCAGCTCTGAGCGGCCACACTGCTTGGGAGGCAATCCTCCCCCACCCCCCTGTGGATTGCCCAAGCGTTGGGGCGGGCAGCTTCCGCATCTGCCGCTGAAGAAAGCAGCTTCATTCATAGGAAAAGGCTTCAGAAACCTTTTGCGGAGTGAGTTCCAGGTGAGGTAATTCTCACCGCGGAGAAGAAAGGCGGAATGGAAGGGGGGTGCAGATCCGGTTGGATCCGAGCAGATTATCACTCAGGCCGAGAACGATGAGTTCTGTTTCAAAGCTCCAACTTCCATATTTCTAAAGAGGACGGTGGGCTCTTAGCTTTCCTGCTTATGAATTGCGACACAATGGGAGTGTTGAGAGAGGGGGGCTCACATTGCTCATATCTTGCTTCTGCTTCAATGGCGATTTATCTGAAAGTAAAGCAAGCCTTGTGCTGCCCCAAAGCCTGCCTTTGGAGGACACGAGCTTTTGTTTCAGGCAGCAATAGTTGCGGTTTTTGCTTTTTCTTGTAAACCTCTTGTTTTTGTGGGGAACTTTAGAGTTCTAACCTTCGTTCTAACCTAGGTCGTTACCAGTTCCATTAAACCTACCATTTAGTGAGCAGATAACCAGTCTGTGACAACATCCATTGCATAGTATTTACTCAGCTTGATACTTAGGACTTTTATCAGTAAGGCAGAAAAAAAAAAAAGACAAAGATGATGTAGTTAAAATAAACAAACAAACAAAAAAGATCAAAAAGCCAACCAACCAACCAACCAACCAAACAAACAAACAAATAAAAAAACCCCAGAAAACCGGCAGACCCTCCCAAAGGGAGGAGTTAAAGCTCCACTTTCACATGGCGTGGATAGTTTGCATCACCACCTAGAGCTACCCAACAGATTCTGCCTGTGTGTGATACTACAACCTCTTGGGGCTTTCCTAGAATCAGAAGATGCAAATGGAGGTGTCGGCTGAGGAGCTGTTGTTGACCCCAAGTGTTTATTTCTGGAGCCTTGTTTACTGTGTGTTTTTGAAGACTTCCAGTGTTACCTTTTAAGTTGAGAGTCTGTCCCTTCTGGAACTTTGGAATCATGCCAGTTGGTCCCTGAGGGCAATCTTGGTAGTAGGACTTTGCAAGTCATCCAGTTAACCCAGGGATCAAGAATCATCGAGGATGGGCCAGCAACACTGTAGAGAGCCTATCTATGAACCAGTGCCTATGGGGGTTCCCCAAAGGTAGGGGACAGTCTGAGTTCTGCCAGGATCACCAGTTACTTCAACCATTGCGGGAACTGCCTGTCAGAGAGAGCTTGGAAATGCTCTGGGCACTTGGGGTTGTGCAAGGACTAAGGACAATTTATGGTACATGCTGTCCTGCCTCTCAGGGCGGGAAGCTTTCTGCAATGGGCAGGACAGTGGCAGGAGGAACTGTCCTGTCCCCAAAGCCAATAGTGTTCCCTTGAAAAACAGCAATAGGCAGGCAGCAGGGCTCTCTGTTGCCCTAGATCTCCTCTGTTTCTGGCCACTCACCTCCTTACCCCAATTCCCATGGGAATAATATTTTCAATGAGCTAACAACAGAAATTGAATTAACTAAAATAAGTCCAAATGTAGAAATCTGATTATGGATTAGAGTTTCATCTTGTGCAGTTAAGACAAGAGAGAGGACGTGTATTGATTTTGATCACATATTCCCTTCCTCTGCCATTGTCCTGTGCTCTTTGATTTTCAGAGCCTCACGAGGCGTGGACCACTAACCGCCAGACACAGAGGGCCGTGACAACTCTGAGGTCCTGCGTAGACAAGTAACAGACTCCAGAGTTCATCCTGTTGTCTCTTGAGTACACAGCTTTATGGCATTCTTCTGGATTTGAAGAAATTCTACTACCTTCCACATCACAACCACTAAGTTAACACATTGCTATGGTCATTCTTAACTTGATAGGACTTAGAATGACTCAGAGGACATGCTTCTGGGCCTGTCTGTGAGGGCATTTCCAGAGAGACTTAACTGTGGAGAAAAGTCCAACCCTTAAAGTGGGAAGTACCATCCAACAGGCTGGGGTCTGTGGCTGAATAAAATGGAGAAAGTGAGTAGGTGTGGCAAAATTCATCTCTCGGCTTCCTGACTTCAGACACAATGTGGCCACCCGCCTCATCCTTCCATCACCATGTTTTCCAGCCATGATGGACTTGAACCTAAAACCCTTTGACAAAATACCTTCTTTCCTTCAGATGCGTTTTGTCAGGTGTTTGGTCTCAGTCGGCTAGGTCAACTAGTCAACATAACCTTTCTAGGTCTATTTCCCTACCACTCAATAAGTGGAAGTATGTTCTTCCAAAACAAGGCATTAGAGTCCTCATGTGACCTTATTTGGGAATAGGGCTTGTTAAGAATCTAACCGGTGAAGATGAGGCCATTGTTGTAATGAATCGGGGGTCCTTAATCTACTATGAATAGATCTCTTATTAAATAAGGAGATTTAGAGAAAGACACATATAGGAAGAAGTGAAGACTACAGGAAGGCAAAACAACACCAAAGACGATCAATAAGCCACAGAAATTAGGGAAGAGGCATGGGTGGGCTTTCTCTCCCATCCTCTAGAAGACACCATCTCTGATGACACCTTAAGCTCAGGCTTCCAGTCTCTAGAACTACACAGTATTTGAGCATCACCGTTGTAACCCACCTGGTTTGTGGGATGCTGTTATGACAGGCCTAGCAAACAAATGTGTTCGCTTATTTGACTTGTTTTGAGGATTAAACAGGATATTTCAAACAAATCAGAAATACATACAGGACACAGTAAGTTCCTGTTCTAACCATCCAACCTAAACTCCCCAACCAGGCATCTTAGAACACTTCCCTAACCAAAGTCCCAATGGGGATGCAGAAGGCACCTTTGCCATGCTGCGGTGGTTTGGATAAGAATGGCCCCCATAAAAACATATGCTTGAATGCTTGTTGGAGGAAGTATGTCTTTGGGGGTGGGCTTTGAGGTTTTTAAAAACCCATGCCAGGCCCAGTGTCTCTCTCTTCCTGCTACCTGTGGATCCAGATGTAGAACCCTCAGCTACCTCTCCAGCACAACATCTGTCTGCTTCCCACCATGGTAATAATGGGCTAAACTGTTTGGTTGGAAGTATCATTTTAGTTTTCGACATTTTTATGTTTAAAGAGCCTGAAATGTTTGGGTGGGGCTTCACCTCAGCTCCCTGACACCCCTTTATCCAAAGAGTCTGGAATGTTTGGTTGGAAGCTCCACCCCAGCCCCTGACATCCATTTCCGAATGTTGGGTGTTCATTTCAAGCCCCCTCCCCTGGGAGTTGCCTCAGTCCAAACTCCACCTCTGAAAAAGCCTGCCAAACGGTGACCCCTCCCCAGAGAGGGTCAAGACCACACCCATAGGCTATTTATACTGCCCCCCAGAGAACGAACATGTGATCTTTCTAGTTCTCCTTTCATGGTCTTCCTTCCTGAGGGCCTGAAGGGCCACCCAGGGAGTGCTGGCATCTATTAAACTTGGGCTTTTTCTAATTTGGTTTGATTTGGTCTGATTTGGATTATTGTGTGGGTGGAGAGGTTTGTTGGGCCTCAAAACTTTTACATAAACCTCTGAAACTGTAAACCAGCCCCAATTAAGTACTTCCTTTTTATAAGAGTTTGTCATGGTCATGGTGTCTCTTTGCAGCAATAGAATGTTGTTAAGATGCGTGTCCTATATGAAATTTCAGTAACTCTTAGCACTGGAATCAGTTACTTTCCTTGTTGTCATAATAGAATGTCATACCAGACAAGAACACTGACATAAGCATAGTAAGGGAGGAAATTTTCATTTTGGCTCACAGTTTGAGATGATACAGTCCAACATGGAGGAGGGGAGCCATGATGGTGGGAGTGGCTTATATTTGTGGCAGCAGATAGGATGTGGCTATTTATACTCTATCAGCAGTAAGAAAGCAGATGGAGCTGCTGGTCTATACCCCCACAATGTTGCCTCAGTGACCCACTTCCTTCATTGAAGATCTACTCCTTAAAGGTCTCACAACCCCAAATATTATACCCCAACTGGGGAATAAGTATTGAAGCGTGTGAACCCATGGGGCTATTTCACATCCCAAACCAGTATCTTTCCTCCAGTCTCCTCTGCTTCAGTTGAGATGTCTTAAACATAGCTACCAAGCTCAGGGCAGACGCTGTGATGACTCTCTTGAATGCAGAGATATAGAAAACATGGCCTTTGCTCTCCAGATTTCACAATCACCCGAGAGAAGCTGTATATGTTTGATGGTTTGCTAAAGGGGAAAGTTAATGAACTCCAGATGAATGCTTTTATATGTATGAATTTCACAGAATATCATATAAACTAAAAAAACACATAAAAACATAAACAGTATGATTAAATTTATAGAAATGTCCCCAAGTAGGCAAAATGGAAAAAGTATATGTATAAATAATAGCTAGCATATATACAATGCTGGTTATAGTTCTAAATGCTTTGGTTTACTGAATTCTTAACTATATACATGCATAATTATTGTCTGTACTTCAAAGTCCAAAAAGTAAAGTGGCTCACCCCAATCACGAGTCTGGTAAACAGTGGAGAAGCTGAGCCTACACCCTTAAATGCCACACCACGCTGTCTCTAATGTCTGTAAGGAACGAGCCCTTTTCAGCTGTGCAAGCATTTCAAATCTTTGCTCATATGGCTCCCTCTACCCAAAGGATTCTTCTTCTCTTGTCTGGTTTTCCAACTTGGGAAATGTCTATTCATTTTTGGGGCTTAGTTGAAGGGGTATCTTTTTTCACGAACCCTGAAATATGTTTTTCATTGCTGTGACCAAATGCCAGCTAAAATACAATGTCAGAAAGGAGAGGTTTCTTTGGGTTCGTGGTTTGTGAGGCTATCGTTCATCATGGCGGGAGGGTATGGTGATCGCTGACTTCATGGCAGCAAGAGTATGTGGTAGCTGTTTAATCATGCCTCAGTGGACCCGGAAGCAGAGAGGGAGGAAGAGGGAGAGAGCGAGAGGAGGGAGAGAGGGAGAGACTGGGACTATGGGTAGGGCTGGGCTATAACCTTCAAGGCCCACTGTCCTGTGCCCATTTCCTCTACTAGGCCCCAGCTTCCAAAAGTTTCATGACTTCTCCAAAGAGCATCACCAGCTGGAGACTATGTGTTTAAACACATGAGCCTGTGGGGGACATTAACCTTCAAATCCCAATAGAACTTTCTGACATCCTCAAGTAGACATGCTGGCCTCCCTCCCTTGAATCATTATCTGTTTTGCTCCTGCCCCCCACTCAAGGGTAGAGTCCATTTCTTCATAAAATTTGACTCTCTAATTTCTGGGTGTGCCATCTGGTCTTATGCCAACTTGACACACAAACTAGAGTTATCTGAAAGGAGGGGACATCAGTTGAGAAAATGCCTCCATGAGATCCAGCTGTAGGGCATTCTCTTAATTAGTGAATGATGGGTGAGGGCCCACCTCATGTTAGGTGTTTCCATCCCTGGATCCTATAAGAAAACAGGCTGATCAAGCCATGATGAACAAGTCAGTAAACGGGACTCTTCCAAGGCCTCTGCATCAGCTCCTGCCTCTAGGATCCTGCCCTCTTTGAGTTCCTGTCCTGACTTCCTTCAAGGATGAATAGTGCTGTGGAAGTATAAGCCCAATAAACCATATCCTCCCCAGCTTGCATTTTGGTCATGGTGTTTTGTCACAGCTATAGAAACTCTAACTAAGACACTGAGTATAATAATTCCAGACAGAATGTCTTCGGTCTATACAAGGATATAATAACCATAAATCAAGGCTGGCCCTCACCGCCACAGTGAGGAGCACAGAGAGAAGGAGCGCTTGCATGCTTGCTTTTGCTCAGGCTCCTCTCTCCCCTTACACAGTCCAGAACCCCCAACCAAGGAATACTTGGAGGGCCTTCCCACCAAAATTAACCCAATTACAAAGAACCCTTACAGGCATGCCTATGCACCAACCTGATCGAGATAGGCCTTCACCGAGGCTCTCTTCCCCCTGCTGAATCCAGATTGTGGCAAGGGGAAAACCCAAACCGACATTACCTGTTACTTATTTATTTATTTGTTTGTTTATTTATTTATTGGATTTTCCTGTGTCTCTCTGTGGTGTGGTGTTTTGTGTGTGTGTGTGTGTGTGTATGTGTGTGTGTGTGTGTGTACACGATTGGAAACTTGAAGTTGAAGCGAGAAATTTTCCTCAATTGATCTTCCACCTTTTCTTAGAGACAGGATCTCTCAGTCAAACCCAGAGCTCACTGCTATAGTTAGTCTCTCCAGCCATCTTGCTTTGGGTATCCCTTATCTGTGCCTTTCCAGGCTGGAACTTGAGGCCCATTCACATTTCTGTGGGTTTGGAACCGGTGCTTTGGTCTCCATGTTTGAGATGTAAGCATTTCAGCTGCTGAGCCCCAGCCCCAGCCTCTAGTGCTAATTAATCTTCTTTGACAATATGCCTTTTACTCTATTTGACATATTACAACTATGTATTTCATGGAGCACATGGTGACATTTAAATACATGGATCCAACGTGCGGTGATCCGATTGGGGCAATTGCCGTCTTCCCTCTCAGTCATTACTTTGTGCAGAGGGAGCTGTGACTAAGAAGGAAGGGATAAATCGGAAACAAAAGCAGAGGCCCAGGATTCTCGGCGAGGCAAACAGTGGCACAACCAGCCCGAGAAGAGAACAAAGTAAGGAAGAATCCATGTGAGGATGCGCCTCAGTCACTTGGACCGAAGGCTCGCTGGTCACATGTTGGCTTAGTCTAACTGTAGACCCTCACAAAGACATAAGCGTGGGGATGAACAACATGTGGGTACTCTAAACCCTCGGGGTCCCCTTCGTGTTATAAAGTCTGATGGCAAATGTACAAGGCCTGCCTCTTGCTTTGAGAAACCGCTTCCTTCCTG